TTGGCAAAATGACCTGGAAACAGCGTGTGCCCACCCACCTTAACCTGACCACAGGAGACTTGACCACCTGCAAAGATGGGAAGCAAAGTGTGCAGCCTATGTTACATGTTCATCCACACTGGAGCCAGTTTTGATGAACAGAAAGCAGATGTGAAGTATTTTCTTCAAGGAGGGTTATCCATCCTCTCCTTCAGATTCCAGGGGAACTGGTTCAAACCGGGGTGACAGCTGCTCACCAGCTCACAAAGCCATGTGCTATCACCACGCTCCGTTCCCCTCCAGCTCCACATCGGGGAGAAAGGGAATAACAGGCTCCTGTTTGCTCAACCCCCAGTCAGTCTCCTGCAGGCAGCTCATTTAGCCCCAGGCCTGTAAAAACGATTTATGAACTCCTGCTCAGCATTTCCACAGCACCAGCTCACCGTGGGTAATTAGGGACGATGTGTTTAGTGGGAGTGTCACTCACACTGCGTGACAGAACAAACCCCGGGTGGAGCTCACGCTCGGTGCAAGCGCCTGTGTGAGCAGGGAGGTCACTGGGGCTGTGCACGGAGGTGCAGCCACAGCTCCTGGGAATTCCTGCCAACTCACAGCTCCTGGGAATTCCTGCCAACTCACACCTCCTCCCGAGTGTCCAAAAGCCACTCAAACGTGGCACCTGGGGATACGGTTTAGTGGTGGGCTTGGCAGTGCTGGATTAGTTGGGCTCGATGGTCTTGGGGACTTTTCCACCCTAAACAATTCCACGAGTCTGGGATTCTGTATTTGGGTGCTCAGTGATGTGCCCCAGTGCCCAGTGATGTGCAGCACAGCAGGGGAGCAGCGGAAGGAGGGTTTGGGGCCCTCAGCACATCCCAGCCAGCCAGAGCTCATCCAAACACTCGGCTCAGTGCTCCCGTCTCCGTGGAGAGCAGCTCTGCACAGGGACACACACACGCCATTCCTGGGAATGGCAGTGCTGAGCCACAGGAACAGAGCAAGTGCTGGGCACGGGGCTGAGAAACTCTCCTGTAATTGAGGAAATTCCTCTGAAAATCTGCAGGGAAGCAACAAAATGGACACCCCGACTCCTGTGCTCAAAGCTCCCCATGGGACACGGGCCACTCACCCGCGGGGGTGCTTGTCCAGCTCGTGCAGAACCGTGTGCTCACAGTACTCGAACACCAGGTGCAGCTTCCGCTTCCTCCGGAACACCTCCAGCAGGTTCACCAGGTTGGGGTGCTTGAGTTGCTGGAACACACAGGGGATGGACTGCTCAGTTACTGCACGGGGTAGAGGTGGGGGGACAGGGATTTTGCCTGCAGGGCACAATTCCTGAAGATGAACCCTTTATACAAGCACAGCACGATGTGAAGCACCAGCTCAGCCTACAGCTCAGCCTGCGTGTCCTTGTTTCAGGAACTGGCCACGGGCAGTAAGTCAGCTTGGCTTCAGCAAGTGCCAAGATAAAGAATTCATCACTGTGCCCGGGGCTGCTCTGGCACTGCCACTCACTGTGCACATCCAGCCCTTCAGGGCACCACAGTGAAAGGCAGCTCTCCGTGGAAATCACACGGGGCCAGAGCCTGCAGCAGCAAACACATGTTTGAGGGAAAGCAAGAGCTTCCCTGAGGCACTGGCCTCAGCTTCACCATGGTTACTGTCACAGTCTGGAGGGGTCAACGAGGAGAATTTTTATTCCTGCTTTTTCCACTTCCTCTCAATCCACCTCATGTGTTCAGGGAATCCCAGAGTGGTTTGGGTAGGGACACCTTCTACCAGCCAAGGTTGCTCCAAGTCCCTTCCTACCTGGCCTGGGACACCTTCAGGGATGGAGCAGCCACAGCTTCTCTGGGTAGCTCTGTGCCAGGGCCTCACCATCTCCACAGCCAAGAATTCCTTCCTAATATCCAAGGACAAGGAAGAATGGCTTTCCACTGCCAGAGGGCAGGGAGAGATGGGATATTGGGAAGGAATTCCTGGCTGGGAGGGTGGGCAGGCCCTGGCACAGGTTGGGCAGAGAAGCTGTGGCTGCCCCTGGATCCCTGGAAGTGTCCAAGGCCAGGTTGGATGAGGCTTGGAGCAACGTGGGATAGGGGAAGGTGTCCCTACAGGAGGGTGGAACTGTATGACCTTTGGAGTCCCTTCCAACCCAAACCATTCCAGGATTCTGTGGTTTCAAGACTCTGCAAACTCCCCCGACCCTCCCTTGGCTCCTGGCCACAAAACCCCTTTGTCTACAAGGCATTTACTGTGCAGAAAAATGATTTATCAGGCCCCACATTTTTTTACCGATGAAACACAATCTCACTGCATCTTTGACAAACAGGAGTTGCCTAAGCCAGTAAATACCTCCAAAAAACAAACAAACTGTTACTATTTACAGAGAAAAAGCTGAAAAGACAGCCAAGCATGTCTGCACTTGTTAAAATCAACAGTGCCCCAACACAGATCCTGCCATGCCTGGCTGCAGCTTTGGATCCCAAAGGATGATCCAGTGCCCAGCTGTATTAAAAGGGTATTCAGCAATGATTATTTTCATTTTCGGATCTTAAATACAATTTAAATGTTAATGCATCTCCAGCACTGTTTATTGATGTGAAACAGCACATGTCCTGTGTTTGTTTAGGATAGGAGAAAAAGGCTGCTTCTCCCCATGATCTAATTGAAAAATAAATATCCTGTTTTTCTGACATGATGGGCTTTCCCAGGATGGCAGGTGGACAAATCACGAGCACCCTGGAGAAAGCAGAAAGGGAAAAACTCTGCCCACTTCTCAGAACACACAGCTGAGGGTGCTGTGTGCCATCACCTGGCAGCCACTTTGTAACAAATAAAAGGAATATTTTTTTTTTTCACACAACACATTCCTAAAGCCTCAGGAAACTATGGAGACCAAATGAACACAGCAGTTCAAAAAAGAGATGGGACAGACTCCCAGCTCTCTAAGCAAGAAGCGACGGGCACAATCTTTGGCTCCAGAATCCTTGCCCAGAAGCTGGGAGTGTGAAAGGAAACCTTGCCCCATCCTCTCCCTCTTCCTCCTGGGTCTCTCCTCATTTCTGCATCCTTGACAGGCCTGGGGTGTGACCCACTGTAGATGTTCCCGGGCTTTTATTTTCACCAGGAAAACACACACAGAGGGTGAATGTGTTTTACACAGGCTCCAACAGTTCCGGACCGACCCTCCCAGCTTGGGCTGGGGAGGAACACCTGGCACGGCCATCCCCGGACAAGTGGGATGGACATTCCCTGGCAACGGCTTTCTCCCAGATAAGCTGACTTGGGCACTTCACGGTGCTCCCTCGCACCCGAATCTTTTGCTTCCCCACTTCACGACACGCCATCACCTCACAGATGCCCTCACGCCGCCCTCTCTTCGTGGCTGCCCTCACAGCCTGTCCCTCCGTGACGCCCTGTCCCCTCACGGCTGCCCCCAGCCCTGTCCCCTCGTGATGCCTTGTCCCCTCACGGCTGCCCTCAGTGACTGCCTCTTCACACCCTGTCCCCTCACACTCCATCCCCTCACGTCTCCTCTCAGCCCCCGTCCCCTCACAGCCCGTCCCCGCCTCTCCCTCAGGGCTCCCCAGCTCCCTGCCCCGGTGTCCCCCCGGCGGGCACCGCCCGTGCCGGGAGCGGGGCTCCGGACCCCCACACAGCCACCCACCTTGAGCATGCGGATCTCCCTCAGGGCGATCTTCCTGATCACCGGGTCCTCCTCGGACTCCAGGAACTTCTTGATGGCCACGATCTGCCCCGTGTCCTTGTTGCGGCACTTGAAGACGACGCCGTAGGAGCCCTCCCCGACCTTGCCCAGCTTCTCGTAGCGCTCCATGGCGCGGGGCGGCCCCGCCGCGCTCCCTCACGGCGCTCAGGCGGCGGAGCCGGGGCGGACCCGCGGCCGGGGGTGTCTCCCCGGCCGGGACGGCCCTCGGGAACCGCCCCGGGAACACCAGGCAGTCCCCAGGAGGGGGAGAGAGAGGAGGGACATCTCCGTGGCCTCTCCCGGTGCCACACGCTGACCCCTCACACCCCCGCCATGGGCGTGGAATCAGAGAACCACAGGATGGTTCGGCTTGGAAGGGACCTTAAAGATCATCCACCCCCAACCCCCCTGCCGTGATCGTGTTGTCCTTGCCACTCTTTGTCTTTCCAGAGGGTTTCTAGTTTTGACTCTTATTTCCCTGCAGGGTTGGAAGCGGGAACACCCTTCCACAGGCCCGGCTGGCCTCAAGCAGCACCTCCACCTCCCTCCTGAAAGGATGAAAATCTCCAAAAAACCCTGCAAGTTTCCTGGAACCTTCCTCCTGCACCTCAGGTGTCTGTCACCTGATGGATTCCTGCCAGCAACCAGACCCTTTTAGTGAGCACTTTTATCTCTTGCCTTCCCATTCTCTTCCCTGGTGTGGGTCCCTGGATCCTCAGCCCTCTCCTCATGCCCCAAGGAAAGTGGCCTTTTGTGGTGATAATCGACGTTAGATCTGGAGATCTGTGTGGACACCCTGCCCCATCCTGTGCCTCCTCCCTCCCCAGTCCTTTCTTGAGGTGCTTCCCAGCTCTATGCAGGACAAAGATACAATAATTGCTTTTCTTCCCAAGCCACATCCATCAGGGCCGTGTAGTCTCCTCACATCCCAGCTGCCAAGACTTAGCCCACAGAGATAACAATCTTCTGCAGAGGAGGAATGTGGATGTGTATTTATTTACCAGGAACTGGCAGTTCTCTGTGTTGTCCAAAGGCACATTCATTCCATTATTGACAACCCTCCTCAGCACATCCCTGAAGATCTGCGATCCAGGTACACATGGCACACAGCCTCTACTTTTCCAGCCAGACAGCTCCCGAGTGGATCCACGGTGATCCCAGGTGACTGGGCTGGGAAAGAACTTGCCCCTGCTATTCCTATTTCTCGTTCCCTTGGCATTCCCAGACCTCCTGCTGACCTGCTGCACGTGGGAGCTGCCCTGTGGCTCCCGGCAGTCTGGAAGGTATTGTTCCCAGCAAGCCACCACGCCACGGCTCGGTATCAAATAAAGCAGTTTATTTGGCATAGACTGAACTGCAATAGAAATTCCCGTGGAACAAAGCCTGGTTACACAAACTGAACGAGTGCAGTTAAAGAGTCTCAGTTACACCTAACGACTAAACGAGATTAAAAAAAAAAAAAAAAAGCACTTTTCAGAGTCTCCCAGTCTTGTCCTTTCCACCCAGAGACACCGTGGCTCACTGATGCGTTGTACCTTTCGTCTCCAAAGAGATGGCAGCACAATTCCAGGTGTGTTTCTCGGTCACAAGGAATTCGGTTAGGAAATCCAGAGAGATCAATCCACAGGCTGCTGGCTCTTCACATAGTGTTTGCACTTCCAAGAGCACTGGGAGCCTGTTTTAAGGCTTTCAAGTCGGATACATGACCTGGTGCATCCAGTAACGAGGGGGGCTGGGCGAGTTTTTGCTTCGTAAACCTCCAATTCCCTCCCTCCCCCACACACCAGGCTTTCCCAACCCTGGTTGAAATGTCACAAAAAACAAAGATACAGACAATAACAGACTAAATTAGACAGTCCAATGCAAATTCTACTAATCAGAGTCACCAAGACTGGCTGGGTTGGCTGTGGAGCTCACCAATCCCTCGTGGGATAGGGAGTACAAGTGAGGTTTTGCACTGGGAAGATCATGCCAAAAATGCCACTGTCTGTAAAACCAGCACAAAGCATTTCCTCAACATGCCATTAGAAATGCTTCAACAGCTAAAAAAATGTGATTAAACAAGGACTTTTCCTAAGTTTATTATGATCCAGCAAACCAAAGCCATTTGTGTCATTCAAAGAAAAATACTTTCAGCTCGTTATTTCTGCATGACAGTGTCATGACCTAAGAGTTATTTACTCCAGTTATTCCCCATAAATATTCAGATTTTATTTACAGGTTTCTCTAGTCTTTTAGAGATCTCCTTTAAGTTGTTTTCAAAGATGAAGCCAAAATTACCTTCTGCAGTGAATGAGGTAAATTAAAAACTGTTTGCTCTACAATATCTACACCTGGTGCTTCACTTTGTCTTAATTTTTGTTTCAAGGTCTCTGTAGACCATTTGAGGTTAATCACCAGTCACTGTTACCTGTGAAGTAATTTCAGTACTAGAGAACTGCACTTCTTTAACACACAAAAATTACACCTCCTGCTTTTAACAGTGCTGATCCAATTCCAGCTGACCACCCCTAAACCACATTTTCCATACTCTGTGGTGTGATTTCAAAGTTTTATCTGTACACTATTTCTGAAGCTTTGACACGGTGTCAGAACTAAAAAGCTTGACTTGACGTCAAGTCAAGCAAGAATTAGTTTTGAATGACAGTGGCTAAAAATGCTAAATGTGTGCAGGGCTGTTTTCCCTTCCAGCCCTGCCAAACACAAACCTTCCAGCTGTCTCCAGTAACAAGAAAACATCACCGAGCCAAGACAATCCCCCCAATGTTAAATTATGGATCACGTAGCCCGATGCCAACACAGACAATCCAAACCACTCCAAGCTGTCACACACCTTTCCTGCTCTCTTAAAACGACCTGTGAAATTCCAGCCTGCCCTTCCCGGGGAGCAGATCTCTGGAGCTCAACAGGCAGCAAGTTGTTTGCTGCAGCATTTCATTAAAACAAAAACCAGCCCTTCAATTTACATGTTTATGAGCTGCTGCTGCACCTGCCCACGGACTGTGTTCACATCAAAGCCAGCAGGGTAATGTGAGGTAGTAAAACCAGATGCTCTCCTGTAGTCAGTCTATATTTAATGGTACCTCAAGGATTTTAATTAATGAGGAAGACAAAAGGAACCGCCGTGACTCTTCTAGTGGAGGAAGGAAAAGGGAAAGTTAAAAAACCGCAGGTGACAAAAGAGGGAAAAAGTGATCGAAGCTTGGATACAGAATACTGGTTCTTATCATGTTTATTTATACTACCCAGCAGGGGAAAAAAAACCCTTCCCAAACCACTGCCTGGAATGCTGCACAGCCTCAGTTATCCCAACGGGCTCCCCTCTGGAATAGCATAAACAAACCACACGTCATGGGCAGTCGGATACATGATACTTTCATTCATTAAGGATGGTGACCAGGTACAATTTCCACGTCACCTCACAAGACTTATCCCTAATTTATGAAAATAAAGCACATATATATTTTGTACATTTATATATATATATAAATATATATATATATAAAAAAAATACACACTGCCAGTCAACACACACACACACACAGACACACACACACCAGGAGCAACGAGTCTGATATCAATATTCTACTTTGTGTACACACCCCCTAGGCCTAGGAAGTAAGAAAAAAATCCCTTTTATGGTGATTCTGCAGGCAGAAAAATCAGTACAAAATACTTTGTTGTACAAAAACTGCGGGGTTTTCTCTTTTTTTTCTTTCTTTTTTTTTTTTTTTTAAACAAGATCACCCAACACGGTAACAACACCCCCTCAGTAATGAGCTACATCCCTACAAGGAAAAAGGAATAATCAAATCTTTATACAATTGTAAAAAAACAAACAAACAAAAAATTGTAAGCTGCTCTGCAACCTTCCTTTGCTAAAAGTTAGAGACATTACCCTCATCCTAGCAGCAGATTAATAAATAAGGATTAAATAGTCTATTATACAAAGCCATACCCAATGGCAGATTTCAAACCGAAAAGCTTTGCAGATACTTCCACTTCCTACACAAATCTTTGTTTTATTAAGAATAAGACTCAGTATAAAACAGGGGCAACAGCCAGCACTAGATCTGTATCTACAGGACTAACAGGAAAATCCAAGGGAAGAAAAATATTTAACAGTTTATGGCACCTTTACTGCATAACACGTTTCAAGGCTCTGTTTCCCTACAACTAATGAGTAAAGGGCTCTTTATCTCAGCTTTTATTAAGCAAACTCCATATAACCAACCACACAGTGGCAAGAGACAGAACCAGCTGTTCCCAGCTGCAAAAAATGGATTGATTTCCACCCTAAAAACCAGCACAGCTCCGGTGGCAAGGAAAGAAACGGCCACTTCCAGTTCCCTGATGCTCCTTTTGTTCCTCCCAGGGCAAATTCCCTCCGTTATTTGCGTCGGGTGGGCCTTGCTCAGTAACTGTTCTCATGTCCAGCCAGGATGTAGAGGTTGCTGTGAGCCTGAGGGTTCTCCGTGGGCCTGCTCTCCAACACCACCACTCTGCAACCAAACACAAACAGGCTCCAGGAATTTCAGTGGCTAAAAGTGAAAAGCCCCGTGGGTGTGGCTGCTGAGGAGGAAACTCCCGGGTGTTTCATTCTTTAAAGCACTTCCCTTGTTTTGCAGCATCACTCCTGATAAAATCCCTGCAGTGGGATGTACAGTGGGAGGTGTCCCTGCCATGGAACTGGATGATCTCTAAGGTCCCTTCCAACCCAAACCATTCCATGATTCCACGATCTGCGGCCTGGGTATGTTTATCCCTCCCACGTCTTGTGATGAGCATAGGCCACTAACGCAAACAATTCTCCTCCCTCCTAAATATTTATCTCTGATGGGTTCACAGGGATCACTCAACCCCATCTCTGCCTTTGTCCTGCTGGACCACGTTCCTGTGGGCTGCTCTGGAAAATGAGCCTCTCCCTGTCGTGGCACACACTGACCACTGTCCCATCCCCTGCTGGACCTTGACCAGCAGCTCATGAGCTCGGGCCTTTGCCCTCCCCCTCCCTCCCAAATGCCTGCATTTCTCTGCACCAGTTCCTAGGAAAATATCCTGTTGTTTTTAGGATTACACTTCTCTCTGTCCTTTTTCTTTTCCTCATGATTTTCAGATGAAGTCTCTCTGTGCCTGATCTTCACCTCTGCATCTGAGCAGTTCTGGAGCGATCCAAGGCAGGAAGGTGCTACCACATCCCAGTGCTGGAAGGGCAGGAAAGAATCCTGCTCCAGCTGAACAGAGATGGAAAACACAAACCAAAGGGTTTGGCACTTCAAAAGCCAGATGGATCAGGGACTTAAGACCAGGAGCTGTTCAAGGCCAGGGTGGATGGGGCTTGGAACAACCTGGTCCAGTGGAAGGTGTCCCTGCCCATGGCAGGGAGGTGGAACAAGATGAGCTTTAAGGTCCCTTCCATCCCAAACCATTCTGGGATTCTGTGATTGGAACTGATTGCTGGATTCCTTCCTATCTACTCCTACACTTAGCACTGAAACCACCAGTGCACATGTCCAAGCCAGAGACTGGGGCAGCTGCTGCTCAGCTTCCAAACCTGGAGGCAGCTGCACTTCTTCCCACCTCTGGAACCAGCTGGATGTCATGGATAATGAGTGAATTTAGCCCACTGTGATTAAAACCTGTGAGTGTTGCTGGTTTGCTCTGCTATTTCACCATCAGCAGAGATTATTTTTAACTAACTACCTGCCAAGATAATTCACAGTTCACCAGGAAAATCCAAGCCAGGAGCAGACTTTTCCAGGCATCCAAGGGCATCTCTCATCTCTCCCTGTCACCTGCTGCCTCCAGACAGGGCTGTGGTGGGCTGGAAGCCAGTTCCAGCTGGGAAACTAGAAAAGCTGCTTTAAATAAAACAACAGGTTTCTGTTTCTTCATGGGTGATTTACCTGTCTGACCCCAGCAAGCGGAAAACCCTCGTTTCATCTGATATCTCCTGGGTCACCTGCAGAAAAAAGGGAGATACTTAGATCTGTTTCAGGGGCAAAACAAAATGTATTGGTCTGAGTTGGAAGGAAAATAAAAAATCCAAATGCAACTCGGTGCAAACTTCAGGAGGGAAACAGATAAACTGGTCATGGAGCACGAGCATTTCCAGGGGGGAAGGAGAGAGAGGAGCCAAAGGATCCAGTGGTAAATAAGCAACAGGAATAAATGAAACCTTCCTGGAGAGGCTGGGAGATCACTTACTTCATCTGACTTAAAGCTCTTGCCCTGCATTCCATGTTTCCAGAAGGCCAGCACGCTGTCCTGAAGGCACACTGCAAAGGGAGATCACAAATCTCACCCTGCTGTTCCCTGGGGCTTTGTATCCCTAATAATCCTGGAGAAAACCCCAGGAAAGGTATAAACACAATTCCAACCACACATTTGAATTCTTATATTTACTTCAAAATAGAACAATTTAATATATATATATATTCATATTCATAATTGAATTATTATCTTCACTTCAAAATAGATGAGAAACGGGAGGAGTTTTCCCTTCAGGGGCAGAGGGAGCACAGAACTCCCAGCTCTGAGTGACTTAATTCTATAATTCCAAGAGATTTTTACAGCACAAATACTTGTCTGACAACTACAATTCAAGTTTTTGAAGCAAAGGGTCCTCCCCTCTGACTAATTTAAAGACAGCAGCTTGTCCTCTAACAATTAGACTGGAATATTATTTATTATCCTGAGTATTAAAAAAATGGCTGTGCTGCACTTGAAATAAAATCTCAACTTTTAGAAGGCTAACATAAAGTTATGTATTACTAAAACCACTTTCTTCTCCCCACATTTTTTTCTCAGTGCTATGGAAATGACCAGAAACCAGAAGAGTTCTGCCAGAAGCAAATCACTCACCCACGGACTCGATGCAGAAATCAAAGCTCAGCTCTGAGGCCAATTTCTTGCTTGACTTCAGTTTCCCTTGTAAATTCACTATTTTCACAAATTCTCAAGAGAAACAGAAAAATAAGTATTAAAACCCACTGGTGGAAAGGATTTAAGTAAGAGATACTAATTTAATTTTCAGACACAAAGAAATACCCAAAGTTAACATCTCCAGTATTTGCCTAAAACGAACTCGAGAGCATCTTTCTCTCAAAATAAAATTAGAAAACCTTTTTTGTACACTTGGCATGTTTCTAGACTCTACTGAGAGATGAGGAGAGAAAGTGGAGTTACAAGACTCAAATCTCACTTATCCAAACTGAGGCTTTTTGGAAATGTTTCAGCTTAGCAATGAAGGGAGAAAAATTAACTTGTGGGTAGAGTTCGGCTCAACAACTGTGGCAAAACAAGTTGTGCACGAGGTGTAGGAGGTTTTTCCAAGAGGATTGTGTTACTCACTGTCCAGGCAGACCAGGACAGTGTCCCTTTCCAGCTGTGTCACGTGAATGGCATCCAACTGCTGATTGCCTGAGGAAAAACAAACAGATTATTTAATACACAGAAAGAGACCGATCTCAGCCTCCTCTCAGCCTCTTCACTGGGCTGTTTGTTACTCTGGGTTATTTTTAAGGCTCCAGGATCCCAGAATTCACAGGAAGAAGGACAAATCCCTCAGTTCAAAGCAGGTATTTAATATAAAAGCCCTACTTTGAGTGGATAAAATACATTTTATGTTACAGTTCAGCACAGCTTCCTTCATAAAGAGGCACCGTAATGAACAAAAGGAATCCTCACTCCTAAAAAATGCTCCTTTCCCATAAATCCACATCTGGAAAGATTATTGTGCTGATACCAAGCTAGATTGAATAGAATTTCATAGAATTTTTTTCCTAGTGTTTATTAATGAAGCTGGTACAGGTTTAAAGGTAAAAAAAAGGATACCCAACAAGGGCAGCAGAGAAAAGCAGCTGCAAAATATCAACCAGGTTGTGAAGACAACCCAGATCCTTGCTTATTAAAAGCCAGCTAAGGGTGACAAACCTCCCCCAAGGGCTGGAGGATGGAACAGAATTCATTTCTGGATTCTTCACACAGAAAAGGAGGGGGAAGAGCAGGAGGACTGATCCCAGGAAACAGTGTGGGACCACGAAGGAGAACCCAACCAGCAGGGTCTGGTTGGGGGTTAAGGAGATTTGGAAAATAAAAGGTGTGTCTGCAGTGGAAGTTTTTTAACAAGGCCAGTTTATGCTGAGGTGGGTGGGTCAGCACAAGAACACAGGGAATCATGGAATTTCAGAGTTGTTGGGAATAGAAGAGATCTTTAAAGGTAATTTAGTTTCAACCCCTCCCCGACCCGGCCTTGGACACTTCCAGGGATCCAGGGGCAGCCACAGCTTCTCTGTCCAACCTGTGCCAGGGCCTGCCCACCCTCCCAGCCGGGAATCCCTTCCCAATATCCCATCTAACCCTTCTCCATGTCAGTTTGAACCCATTCCCCCTTGTTCTGTTACTCCAGACCCTTGTCCAAAGTCCCTCTCCATTTTCTTTGCAGGTTCCCTTCAGGTTCTGAAAACCTGGGATCTGCTCTGGGCAGAGAAGCTGCCAAGCCTCAAGCTTTTCCAAATGACCCCTGAGGAGTCATTCCCAACATTCCCAGATAATCCAAAGGGCTGGAAGGTGCTCCAAGAGCCTCACCTGCCCCGATCTCTGTGAACCAGGAGGACGCCGAGTTGAGGTTGATTGTCTCAAACTGCACCACCTGGTTGGGCTCGGAGCCCTTGCTGATGGCCACACACACCATGGGGTACTCCTGCTCCGGGATCACCAGCATCTCAAACACGTTCAGGGGGCTTGGCAGGGGGAAATCAAAGTGCTGGGGAGAAAGAAACCATCGTCAGGCGGCCGTAAATTCGATTTTACAGCGAAATAAATCTACGATAACACGCACAAGGTGTAAATACAGAGAATTTTTCACGGCATGAACATCAGGGCGGGCAGATGTTGCAAGTGCTGGGCTTGATCCAGCACTTAAATGACTTCTAAATGACTTCCATGGCTGCAGTCACAAGGTTTTCTGAGTCAAAACGTGTCAAGCCAGATTTTTCAAGTGCTCACAACCCACAAACGGCACCAGACCGGGACGTACTTTCCATGACAAACTCTGGAAAGGTTATTTCAACAACTGTATAATTATTAAACCTAAACTACAAGTAAATCCTTACCTTTATTAACATGAATTTCTGCATGGGCTCATACCACTGGAGCAGAACAATTCCAGACTGCAATGCCCCACAAAGGTACTTATGGCCTGTGTATGGATTTCGTACTGTAAAAAAAGAAAACAAATAATAATTTAAAAAAACCACCTGAAAACAATAATTTTAAAGTCCTGGAAGTTCAATGCATAGTTAGGAAAAAATTCTATACAGGTATCTTTGCAAGTAAGTTAAGAAATAGCATTACAAAAACATATCAAAGAATGATTAGGGTTGGAAGGGACCTTTGAGATCATCTCATTCCATCAGTTTCCTACTAATTGCCATTCCAATATCCACAGATATTGTGCTACACTCCAGATAAACTTAATTTTAGTTATAATTAATAACCAGCAGCATCCCTGCAGTCCCAGTTCAGAGCCCACAGGCTGAGTGGGCAGCAAAGCTGTGACCCCTCTCCCTGGGGCTGTGGGAGCTGGGTCAGGTTGGGACTGAAATAAAACAATTCCCAGGCAGAAAAGATGGGAATTTCTTTACTCCTGGGGGGCTCTCACTGGTTTGGGGGAGCTTTTTTAAGCTCAGCTCTCCCAGGAGCTCAAGAATCCCAACTCAGCCTTTTTTTTAGTACAAAGAACAAAGTTTATTCTTCAGACATGCCACGAGCAGGAAAACAAAGAGCACAGCTGGACATCTGCTCACCTATACAGCATTTGTGGCATCCTTTCGTGTCAGGGATCTTGGTCGTTAGGGCAAACTTCCTGGAATAATAAAATTCACCAAAAAACCTCGTCAGCAAGAGATGTCAAGGCCCTAAAACTCAACAGACACTGACAGCACTGCTGGTTATTGTCACTTATTAACAACTGTAAGTGGAAGGTTTGTACCTGGGCAGTATTTTGTCAGGAAATCTGTGGGTTTGGATATGAGCAGCTAATCCCGTTTTTTTGGCTTGTTCAAACAAAGCTATTAAATTATGGGAGTAGAGCTGGAAGGTTTTCCCTGGAAGAGAGAGAAGAGCACAGGTGACGTCACAGCCAGCCCTCCAGTGGGGAACTGCACCATTTGGGAAAGTGCAGGTAGGGGAAATTACCTTCTGGAAACACGGAGCACCAGCAGCAGGGAGGCCAAGTCCAGGTGTGAAGAAAATAAGACAACAAAATTAATAAATATAGAGAAGACAATGAACTCAGAGCTCATTTCAGTAAATAAGGTTTATGTAAACATTTTTAAAGGCTGTAATCACACAACAATTAATATCAGGGTATTTTCTTTATCTATAAATCACCAGAAATGTTGTCACACAAACCCAGCATGTTTAAAGGCACAGTCCTACAATCAGCCTCCATTCCACAGTGCCTGTTTCCTATCTGGAATGTCCTATTCCAGAACTGATTGTCCAAGAATCAGTATTTCCAAGCAACAATATTGCTGGATCAGCAGTACTTCATAATCACCTCATCTCCTTCAAACTGACACAGGTTTTGGTTTTGAATTCCAGGATGGTTTGGGGTGGAAAGGATTTGGAAGATCATTTCATTCCCTCCCCTGCCACGGGCAGGGACACCTTCCACCAGCCCAGGGTGCTCCAACCTGGCCTTGGACACTTCCAGGGATCCAGGGGCAGCCACAGCTTCTCTGGCCAACCTGTGCCAGGGCCTGCCCACCCTCCCAGCCAGCAATTCCTTCCCAATATCCCATCTAACCCTGCCCATTCCCTGTGTCCTGTCCCTCCATCCCCTGTCCCCAGTCCCTCTCCAGCTCTCCTGAAGCCCCTTCAAGCTCTGGAAGGGGTTCTCAGGTCTCCCTGGACCCTCCTCTTCTCCAGGCAGATCAAACAACATTGTACTGAATCATCACTTTATTTATTTATAGTTCCCCTTTATTTATAACGTCAATAATTTCCCCTCTCTTTCTACCTACCTGACAAGGACATCAGGGTGTTGTTGATAACGTACAGCCAGGTGCATTTTCGGGGAAATAACTGACAAAAGAAAACATTTCCATTAATACAAACATCCAGGAATTTCCAATTCTCTGTTCCACCTCCACCACCACTCCTGCAGGGATCCACTCTGATCCTTCCCTTTAATTCCCTGGTTTGGACCCTCTGTGTTTTTTGGGATGTGCCTGCCTGGCTCTCTGTGTTTTGAGGTTGCTCTGGGCACAGACAGACCAGGGAAGATTGGGCTGAATTTATCCCAGAGGGAAGAAGTTCCTCACAGGGCAGCTGCTCTGGGTTTGAGAAGATTTTAAAGAGAGAACTCTTGAAAAGGGAATTGTGGTAAAAGTGATGGCAAATGATGGCCTTCAGGAGTCCCACAAAAGAAGGGATGACAAGAGAAGGGCAGAGATTTTGTTGTAGAAAGTTCTGATAAGAAAAAAAGGACTTGAAAGGATTGAGCTGTTTTAAAATGAAAAAAAGCCCCTTCCAGGACCTAAAGGGGCTCCAGGAGAGCTGGAGAGGGACTGGGGACAAGGCAGGGAGGGACAGGACACAGGGAATGGCTTCCCACTGTCAGAGGGCAGGGATAGATGGGATATTGGGAAGGAATTGCTGGCTGGGAGGGTGGGCAGGCCCTGGCACAGGTTGGGCAGAGAAGCTGTGGCTGCCCCTGGATCCCTGGAAGTGTCCAAGGCCAGGCTGGAGCAACCTGGGCTGGTGGAAGGTGTCCCTGCCCATGGCAGGGGGTGGAATGGGATGATCTTCCAAATCCACAGAGGACTTTGTCCTCTGTGCCACTTCCACATGGAAAATAAGGAAATACGTGGTCGAAGAATCTCAGAAAGAAAAGGTACAACTGGCTGGACAGAAAGTATCTCTCAGCAATTTGCTGTTTAATAGATTAGGTCTGGGTCTAGTCAGTATTTTCACTGAAAAACTAAAAGTGGAATAAAAATATCCTCCTGGAATTGGGAGATATTAACCTTGGAAAAGGAAATTCACTTTGGGATGCACTGAATGGTCTCTCTACTCACCACTGGCATAGCCCAAACCTTTCAAGGTGATTTCAACAGGCATGGGGAAGAGCCCAGAGAAGACTGTCAGGTGAAATAATTTAGGAAAACATATGTGGAAAGAGATTCCAAGGACATCCTGGCCCCAAAGAAGCAAATCTAAGCCCATGAATAGATGAAGTGGCTTTGGAAGGGGTTAGAGAGCCCAGGCAAAGTTTCCTGGGGATAACAACAGCAGCTGAACTGAAGGGGTGAGGGCTTTGGGAGCACCCAGAGGAGCTGCAATCTGCCATCTAGTGGGGATGGGGGGGAGGGAGAAAGGGCAGGGAATCAGTTCTCCAAGGAGAAGGGGAAAATCTGACAGCACCAATAAATTCAGGTGGGTCAAAGAACTTTTTAATTTTCAGACTTCCCTTGCTGGCTTTGATGTGAATCAGTTTAACCCACAGAGCCTGCTATCCCACCTTTTCCTTCCAAAGCCAAACTTCATCACTTCATAATTATGCCCAAATCTATTCCGTGTGTTCAGCCCCCCAAAACTCACCTGTTCCATCGTTGCCTCGTGGAGTTCATTCAAATTCAAAGTATAGATCCCTTCTTCTGTGCCAAAGATGATGTACTGGTCTGAAAAATGCAGGGAAATGGATTAATTCCTGAGCTCATCACCAGGTCTGAAAAGACAAACCTAAAATAACTTTTACAAATTGATTGTTTCCCAAGCTTTGGTTTCCAACACAATCCTGAAATAACTTTACCTTTAGTATCTGGATGTATCCAGGATGTTGCACAATTGATCTTCAAAGGACAACCATCAAAGACCTTGGAAAAACATGCTCCCATCTGAAAGACACCAAAACTGAAACCTGAAACGAATTGAGAGCATCAGGTGTTTTATCTTCTGGCACCTGGCCACTCACACACACACACACCTGCAGACACCACTGCTCTCCCTTTCCACACACACAAACTTCCCCTAAAATGCTTGGATGCCAAACATTGGTACCTTCCCCAACAGCTCCAGCCTTCCAAAGCTTTTTGTAGACTTCAGATCCATTAAGAAATGGTAAAAAGGGGTCAAAATTATATCAGCAACTTACTGGGTAAGAACAATATACCCTGGAGGGTTTCAAAAGCCACGTGGATGTGGCACTTGGGGACGTGCGTCAGTGGTGGCCTTGGCAGTGCTGGGAAGGGTTGGATTCAGTCTTTTAGAGGGCTTTTCCAACCTAAATTATTCTATAATTGTACATGTGAATATTAAATGCTTAAATAAATGGCACAGGAAGGGAAAACAAGCAGGAATTGAAGCACTTTTCCCATTTCTCTTCCTAAGCAGAGATCACGGCTCAGGGAGCCAGGGAAGCCTCCAACCCTCCACATCCCCACTGAGCAGCGACAGGAAGGTTTTAAAAAGAGGGAACAAATATTGTGTGTCCAGAACAGGAAAAATAACTGGCTGTGGGGTGCAGAAAATCCCCCTGGGTGAGCTGGTGCCTTATTCCAGCAAAAACCTCGCGACCCTGGAGAGAGGGAGGAGGGTTTAGTGACTGCCAGTGCCAAGGGGATTTCTTACCAGCACCTTCGGAGTCGGAGGCAAACCATTGATGGCTGGTTTCTGTGGGAAGAAACAAAGGTGATAAAACACCTCCCACACAAACCCCTGACACAAACCCAGCCTGGCTGACACGACAGAGCCACAATACCTACAGGGAAATCTCTTTTCTCCTTTTTCCGTGGGAGCTGAGGGATTTGTCCGGGTCCTTCCGCGTTTTCCTCGATGAGTTTCAGCATCCCGTTCCCGTTGCCTGCAGAGAAGCCCAGACAGCTTTTATAGCTTATCTGACACGGTGGAATAGAAAAATCTCTTCTCCCCAGTGCCCAGCAGGAGTGGGGAAGTGAGCCCTGACACTTCCATATCCACACCCCAGATAACTGAGCCCTTCCCAGGACAACTGGCTGCTCCTGTCCGTGCTGAGTTACACACTTCCCATTATCCAAACAGTCCCAAATTCCACTGAGGATAAAGCTGTGGTAAGGTCCTTGCAGATGATCCTCCCCAAAAACATTCCTTGTTTGTCTCCTGTTCCTGCAGGCCACACATGAGTGGGACTGAGTGGCTCAGTGTCCTTGCTCCGGGAAGAACATTCCCACCATGTGTCATGGCCCTAATAAGAACCAGCACACCAGGAAAGAGGAAAGCTGCCCCTCATGCTCAGCTGTGTTAAAACATTATCCCTGTAAATAGCTGGCTCTGGAAGCAGTTCCTTCTCCAGGACACCAGTCACCTTCAGGAAAGGGAAGGCATTTACCCAGGTCGCTGTATCTGGCTGTGAGCAATCCGGGGCTGCTGATGCTGCTGGTCATTCCAATGGGGCTGGAATCAGCCTGGGGGCCACAAACTGGGATGCTCTGTCTCCTGTGGGCTGCTGGGGCTCTGTTCTGGGAGTCTGGGAAATGTTTTATTGTCTGGCATCTCTCATCATCCGGGAGGTTTTCCTCGGGATGACTGTTTATTCTCGGCTGCAAGAAACCCGAGGGGATGGTTAGTTGGGAAATGTCAGGAATTGGGAATGGCACCTGGGGAGCACAAACTCCAGAGAAGCTGAATTCAAGTCAGGCTTTCTACATTAAAAAAATATCAGCCTTTGAAAAGTGTGTGAACTTTTGGGCATCACAGGTGGTCTCTGGTGAGCAGTGACAGCACCCAGGGAAGGGCTGGAGCTGTGCCAGGGCAGGCTCAGGTGGGATCTCAGGGAAAGGTTCTTCCCCCAGAGGGTGGTTGGCACTGAACAGGCTCCCCAGGGCAGTGGGCACGGCCAGAGCTCCAGGAGGGTTTGGACAACGCTCTGAGGGACAGGGGGGATTGTTGGGGTGTCCTGGGCAGGGCCAGGGGTTGGACTGGATGATCCTCAGGGGTCCCGTCCAACTCAGGACATTCTGTGGTTCTACAAAATAAGACAATTGACAGCAGAATAATTTCACAGGGGTTCCTCCCTGCTGGAAAATCAGAGGCAGAAGGCAGGACAGGAGGCCATCCCAGGCTGCTCAAGTGGGGTTTGCTGCCTGAATCCCTTAAATCCCACAGCCCTTACCTTGGGAGGCAGCGGTGGAGGCCCCGCTCGCTTTAGTGTCGACCTGCAACGGGAAGGGCATTTGTTGGCTCAGTTAAACCAAAACCAGAATGAAAACCAGAACTAGAGACTGGAAATAAGATCAACTCGAAGGCAAAGAAGAGGCAGATCAGAGCTTTGCACACACAGGGTTAAAGTGGAAGTCCAAGAGCAGGGGGAAAGCGCATTCATCTCGTTAGAAGTGTTGGTTTGGGATCAACTCCCGTTCCCTCATAAATGCCAACGTTACTCGTTACAGAGCACTCTGTGCGGAAGGAGATTTGGAGTTAGTAAATAAATACACATTCAGGAAGTGGATCTCAGGCTGGAGAGGGACTGGGGACAAGGCATGGAGGGACAGCACACAGGGAATGGCTTCCCACTGCCAGAGGGCAGGGAGAGATGGGATATTGGGAAGGAATTGCTGGCTGGGAGGGTGGGCAGGCCCTGGCACAGGTTGGGCAGAGAAGCTGTGGCTGCCCCTGGATCCCTGGAAGTGTCCAAGGCCAGGTTGGAGCACCCTGGGCTGGTGGAAGGTGTCCCTGCCCATGGCAAGGGGTGGAATGGGATAAGCTTTAAGGTCCCTTCCAACCCAAACCATTCTGGAATGCTGGAATTCCAGTTTGCAGCCTTCACTGTGAATCAGCCAAACCTCTGGGCACCCCTGGATCTGCACCAGAGCTGTGCAGGATTATCTGCACGTCCTGTCCCAGCCAGGCCTGGCTCGTGGCTGATGGATTAATCGACATAAAATCTACTTTAAAATATTAGGCACTTCCAGATGGACTCTAAGACAACTTCAGGAAGGGGAGCAAGGAGGGAATGGCTTTGGACATTCCCCTGAGGATGAGAGAAGGAGTGCAGCTTGCAGAGCAGCCAGCCCTCGGTCACTGGTGAGTGGCAAAGCTGCTGCAGCGTTTTGAGGGGAGAGGCTTTGGAGCACACACAGCTGTGCAGGAAGGAGATCCACTCACTCTTCAACATCTTCACTCCCATCGCCAAATTTTGTGAGCAGTCCCCTAAGGTGAAATATTTGTACAATTAAGAGCTCTGCTCTAAGGTGCAACTGGAGCCCTCCCTGATGTCACTGAGTTTCATAACAAGCATCTCCCAAGCCCTTCCAAAACAAATATTTCTCTTATTCAGCCCTTTTTCCATTCAGTTCAGTCCTTTCCTTCCCCTCATCCCCCAAAAATCGCCGGATCTCTCTTCCACACCATCAGCTTTCTTTTCCCTGTCTGCTCTTTTAAATATTATTGACATGTCTAACAACAGTGCAATATAAAAGAAGGAAAAAAACAACAGAGGAAGTTACTGGGAGACAAATGGAGAAAAGCCTTGAAAGGGAAGTTTCCTTATATATATATATACATATATATATGTATATACAAAAGACACAGACTGCTTCCCATTGCAGTGGGAATTTTTGTTTCAAAGCTACCCCAGGGACAGCAAAAAAAAAAAAAAAAAAAGAATTGTGACTAGAGGATCAAAGCAGCACTAAAAATATAACCCTGACACCAAAAAAAACAAAAAACAAAACCCTGATAAAATTTTGCAAAATGGCAATTTTCAAGTTGTGTCTTTTAAAGGGTAAGGACCAGGAAAACCCAGCCAAGTTGGGATTAATGCAAAGTTTCCCTGCAAGTCACTGCTGAGGGAAAGCAGCAGCTGCCAACAGGAACTACTAAAAAATTAAAAAGTCTTTCTTTTTGAAAGGTTCTTGTTGCCCAGAGAAGCTGTGGCTGCCCCTGGATCCCTGGAAGTGTTCCAGGCCAGGTTGGACAGGGCTTGGAGCAACCTGGGATAGTGGAAGGGGCTGGGATGAAATGGGATTTTAGATCCCTTGCAACCCAAGCCAACCTGGGATTTGATAAAAATCATAAATAAAAAAAAAAACACTTCCATAATGCAGAAAATTTATATAAAAAGGAAATTTAAATTGCTACAATGAGAAAAACAAGGAATAATTTTGATCAGCAGGGAACACATCCTGGTAATTCCTCCTTTGCAGTCAAGTAATTCCCGAGTTGAAGATCAATCACTCCCTAAAAGCCAAAGGGCATGAAAAGCAAGGACCCCCCAGCAAACATCCTCTCTGGCCATCCCTGGGATTACTCAGCGCTGCTGGGACAGAGCAGTTATGCATTTCCTGTTTATCTTTCCAGCTGGAAGTGGTTTCCAAGTAAGCAGCACGGATTTACCAGCCAGGATGGTGAATCCTGCCCTCCTCCCAAGGCTGAATCCGTGGCCATGCACCCATTTCTAGCCCTGGGAAGGTTTGCTGTGGCCACAGTTGTTGAGGTTTAACACAGCCTGGTCCAGGGAAAGCCACAGGAGCAGAATCCAGTCACTGATCCCTCTGCCAGGGGCAGCTTCCCTCCCTCCCTCCCTGCTCCTCGACCCTGCGGATTGCAGCTGGCTGCACAAAATGCAGCCCTCAGCTCAGCAGGGCCACACAAACAGCCTCAGAGAGGGAGGAAAGGGAGGGAAACAGTCCCTGGATTTACTGGGCAGGGAGAGGCAGAGCCCAGAGCCCCCCCCCCAAACTCCTCCTACAACGAGACTGAGAACAAAAAAAAAAAACCAGGTTGAACTTGGAAAGACTCAAATCCTGGCGAACTCCACGCCCCCAGCAGCTTTCCAGGGGGCTGTGATGTCAGCTGACAGCTTATGCAAGACTTTATCTGCAGCAAAACAAGCCAAAGAAATCCACTGTCTGCTGCTCAGCTCCAAATAAAGATGGGGAAGAGGCTCTTCTAGCTGAGCAATCCTTTCAGCCCAAACAGCACCTTCCCCTGTGTCTGTGCATCCCTTGGTGTCACTGAGCTTCCACCCTCCTCCCTGCAAACACAGGCATTGCCTTTAAAGGCAGGATCCGCTGTTTTGCAGCAAAAGGAAGGTGCTTTCACAACAAATTCATGGCAGAATCCCAGACCCCGCTGATCCCACCCCGGAGCAGCAGCAGGAGCTGTGCAGATGGACTGCTGGTAGAGCTGAACCCTCAGAGCTGGGCTCTCCTTCCCTCTCTCGAGCTCAGGGCTGTGAACAGGCCTTGTCACAGGATGTCACAGCCACAGCCACGGCTCAGAGGAGAAGTGAGAGGCCAGGGCAGGATCCTGAACCCAGCCCTTGCAGGGTCACCAGCTCTGGCTGTGTTACGTCAGAGACCCGCTCGTGCATTTACACCTCCCTTGCCACCTACAACCTTCAAACAAGCTTCTGCTGGTGGTTAAGAGAGATTAAAACTCCTTCTCCAACCATCTGCAGAAGGAGAACGTCACCCTGGGTAACATCTCCTTCATTTATGAATATTAAAGTGCATCAGGGCTTATGATTTGATTTTTCCCACTGCAACTGATTTTTCTCTTTAAGTGTCAGAAATAAAAGCTGGTTTTAGCTGTACTTACTTGCTGCTTCCACCATCAACAAAAGGGTTCCAGTGTGAAGCAAAGTCGCTGCCAGCTGCCACAACCTGGAGATGCAGAAATTGTCATTTTTTTTTACCTCTTTTTTTACCTCTTTGTCAAACTAAAGCACCTTACCCACCACAAACAAAAATCAGTAAGGATCACTCAGCGAACTTAAAACAGGGAAGTTAGGGAACTTAAAAGACATATTTCCAGCAAGGTGCTTAAGAGCTGAACCATGAAATAGTGAAGACAACTGTGATTTTAATAAATCAAGAACAAACTTGTCCTTACCATTTCATCCCGAGCTTCTGTTTCTTTCCGAAGAGGGGGCTCAAACTGCAGCTTATCGACTATAAAACATCACATTTTCATAATTAATACACACACTATTGCAGTAGGGCCCTTTCAGTGCTTGCTACAGTGAAATGCAGGTTGTAAGAGATCTAAACATTGTGTACACAACACTTTATTTGCCTGTAAAACATCAGCCTTATTGTCTGAAGGCTTAAAGCTGCACATGTGAAACCCACAAAAAAGCCCCAAGGGAAATACCAAGTCACTAAATGAAGGCATAGGAATACAATTCACTCCATGAATATACTCAAATGCAACTATTTAACCACGTGCCACTTTCAAATGCATGTGAAAGAGAAGAAAGAAACAGCAAGGCCCCCAAAAAGTGTGATGCACGTGATGCAGAGGAACCACAAAAGACTTCTGTCCAAAGCTGGAGGAAACCCCGGTCTGCCCTTTAAAATTTGCACTGAAGTAGGGCATTAATATTAATTTGGGGGTTGAGAAGCTATGATTGGAGATTCACACACAGAAGCTGCTTCTCCTCAGTGTTCGTTCTCCAAATGGGAAGGGGCAAAACCAAAAGGACATCACCGACATCCCTCCGGAAGGATCCCCCCAAAACCAGACATTCCCCCAAAAAAACTGGGCAAAGCCCCCCCAGGAACTCACAGTTTATCTCTGATGCTGTTCTCTCTGCCCTGATGTTCCTGTTGGTGGAGCGGATGGTGTGGCGGATAACGGAGTGAGGCTGAGGGGACAAGAGTCGGAAATGCTCCTGGATCCCCACCAGCAGCACAAGCAGGAGGAGCAGCCGTCGCAGCCACGCACGGCCAAGCTGCAGCCTGACCTCCCCCAGGCCAAGCAGGGCATTGGGAGTGGAGTTTTAGCTCAAATGGGGGATGTTCTCACCTCAAAATCATCGTCGTCCACTTCGCCGTAGTGCGTGTGGTTGTCGGGATTGTTGACCTTGTCCAGCAGCTCGACTGCCAAAGACCTGGACAGGCCAGGCTGCCCCACAAAGCTGTGCTGGAACCACAGGAGGGGACAGAGAAGGTGGTCAGAACACATTCACAGGTAACTTTCATGAATGTTCCATCAGATATGGAACGTTACCGATTTCTTTTCTGCTTTCTGGAGGCTCAACTATTATTTTAACAACTCCTTAACGGCTGGACTTTCCAACCCCCATAAACCCCACACTCTGGGCCACTTTTCAGCTGGAAATTCAACTCTGAGTCAAACAAATAATTACACTTCATTTTCTACAGTCAAGTAAAAGCAGAGATCCACGAACAACTAAACCTCTGGGTGACAGGAAGGGCCAATGTCTACAGAGCCACGAGGCTGAGACACCCACCTGAAGCACATTCCTGTACCTGCTCCTCCCCAAAATCCTCCCCTGAACAAAATCCTGCCACTCCCTAACAGGTGACCGACACCTCCCTCCTTCAGGTCTCCCCACCCATGTTTTAAAAATTAAAGTAAATGGTTCCACTTTGGTTTCCTGTCGATCTGTTGCTCACTCTGAAGCAGGAGATCTCCTCCTGCTGTCACTGCATGTCCCAGATCACTTACAGAGAGGAGTCTGTCCGCTGTTGGCCTCTTCTTTGGATTTTTTGTAAGTGCTATTTTGACAAAATTATGGAATGTTGCCGACCTTGAAAGAGAAATGAGGGGTTGTGTTTAATTTTTCAAGGTATTATTGATTTTAAGACACTTACTAAACAGGTCACAAAAGGGTGTGATGAATCAGGATGCTGTCAAGGTGCTTAATTTCAGCTTTGAATAATTAAATTTCCAAGCTAAGAAATTAGGAAAAAACTCCTTTTTTTTTCATGGAACTTGCACAGAAAACATTTGCACAGCACCAGGAGTTTATCACAGGTTAAAGAAACCATGAAAGGATGAAACCATTTCTTGTCCCACTGACAGGAAAAATGCCCTGACAGGAATCAAGGAGAAAGGATAAAAATGATTTTCCTTCCTAGAACATGCAAAGAGCCCCAAAGAAGGGCCCCTTCTTCACCAATGACAAGTAGTTTTTTTCCCATTATCTACAAAATCATATGAACCATAAATGGTTTGGGTTGGGAGGGACCTTAAAGATCACCCTGCTCCAACAAAACACTGAAAAGAGGACAGAGTTCCACTTACCATTTTGCTTTTTCCTTTAGCTTTGGCGGTTGAAAATTACTTTTTGACATTAAAAACAGAGCCCTGGAGGTAAAAAAAAAGAACGAGGTTATTATATGGTAAAAAAAAAAAAAAGAATTAATTTCATCCTAATGTCCAAACACTTCAATATTTTATGGTGAGAAACAAACTGGTGAAAATTATTATGTGTTAAAGGACAGACACAGTGAAGCTGCTGATTTTCTTGACTTTAAATAAAATCTTTTTAGTGCCATAATCCTGCTAAACTTTAGGCTACAGCTTCTCCAGTGGTTAATTATCACCAGTAAACCTGTACCTGTTCTTAATCAGATCCTTGATCATGGAATCCCAAAATGGTTTGGGCTGGAAGGGACCTTAAAGCCCATCTCATTCCAACCCCAACAGCTTCCACTAGGCCAGGTGACACTAAAAACTTGACAATTTAGGGATTTTTGGTTAAAATTTCAATTCTCAATGCAAGGTTTTAACTCCAGAGCGATCCCTTAAAACCGGGCCCGGCTCCCGCGGGAAGGAGACGTTCGAGGAGGGAATCCCATGGGATACAGGGAAGCTCAAACTGAATCCCAACGGCTCCTGCTGGGATTGGAGAGGCTCCTGGAGACAAAGAAGGGCTCAAACCTCATGGGGTGCAGGTCGAACATGGGTGGCTGGAGCTCTGCCAGCTCGATGGCCGTTATCCCCACGGCCCAGATGTCGCACAGCTGGTTGTAGCCACCGTTCTTCTCCACTGCAGCCACCTCGGGGGCCATCCTAGAACACCAAGGGCACCGTCACTGCCAGCTCCAGCCCCTCTGAGCACAAAGAGGGACTGAGGGAAGAGCCCCACGCCCACGGGAAGCTCCAGGCCCCTGGACACAACCCCCACCATTCCCAAGAGGAGGAGAGGGAAGAGCCCTTCTTGCCCCAACTCCTCCTTCTCCAACGGGATAACAAAGCCATTGTCTGGATGAATCTGTTTGCAGCCACCAAGAACAAACCCCCCAGGCTCCTCCAATGATGCCCAAACCCAGTTAAATTTGCATTTATAACCCAGCCCCAGATTTACAACGATCTGTTTGCATATTAAATGCTGCCTTGTGCATTTAATCAGTAGAGGTGATTAAGAGATAGTTGAAAAATCTGGTTTTTCGATCTGCACAGAAATCAGAAAGACATTGATTATTTCACTCACTGAACGTGTAAATAAGAAAGAGAGTAAAATAAGTGAGAAACTAAATAACCATTAGAAAAAAAAAGGGAGACTATTCTGCATTAATAAACTTGGGAAAAGTATCAATCCTGCCTCAAACACCAGGCAGCAACAGAGCAGCTCCAATCAGTGCTTCCCAGATTTTTACCCTCTGGGCATTTTGCTCGGAAGAAAGGGAATTTAAGCAATTGTTAGATATATGTGTGTGCATTTTATAATTTTTGGCACAAATACAGTCTCAGCTCCCAGCAACCCAAGTGGTGTGTTACCAGTAAGGGGTGCCAATAAAGGATTTCCTCTTCGCAATGGTGGCTGTTATTTTTGCTGCTACCCCGAAGTCAGCTGGAAAATAAAACCATCAGAGACTTGGAAATCTCAGTTTTAAGACCCCAATTCTACTGTAAATAATTATTATTATGGAAGAACAATCCCATTTTCTTATCAAAATTAAAAATTCATTAAGGTAAACGGTGAAAGATTAATAATGAGATCGTTAATGTCTTCACATCAGTTTTCTTTCTACTTACAGCTCACTCATGATCCTATTCCTCTCCTAGATCATTTTTCCATCTCTTGGTATCAACCAAGATTTGTGGATACCCAATTTAAGAGGAAAAATGGCATTGTGCTTTGGCAAAGGAACCTTTGATGTGTTCCTGTGGAGGAACTGGGATGGGAAATCTGTTCTCAGCCCTGGACACTCTGTCTGCGGGCCAATAATCCCCTGCCTTCAGAGCTGCAGAACATCAGGAGGTCTTGCAGAGCCAAAAATCCTTTCAATCCCTTTTTTTATTTTGATTGATTTGTAGTATGACATCCTCAGGATAACTGTGGGAATGTCTGACCAGCTCAGCAGGCCAAAGGGAGGTACCAGCGTGTAACCCCCGAGTTTAATTCACAGAGTGGAATCTCCTATCAGTGCCAAGGTTTTATTCCTACTTTTTTCCACCTTTCAAAAGCTGTCTCTTCCCAGCACAGCATTCCTGGCTCACCACAGGGGTGTGAAGGTGTTGAATTAAAGCACAACCACCCCAATTCCAAGCAGGGACACAGTGGGAGGATGAGCACCCCATGGCAGTTCTCATGGATACACACGCTCTGTCACCACTTCCTATCATCATTTATTGCCCCAAATAATCATGGAATCACTCAGGTTGGAAAAGACCTTTAAATAATGGGAGTCCAACCCCTCCCCCAGCACTGCCAAGGCCACCTCTGCCCCACAAGTGCCACATCCACACGGCTTTGAAATCCATTTTATAAAGTTCGGGCAACCCACCTAATTTGACATCCCCGTGGTCTGTCAGGAGAATATTTGCACCCTAAAACACAATAAACAGAAAGTTACAGCTCTTTTTCAGCAATATTTGTCCTCCACTAGAAAGTTCTGAGTGTCTCCAAGTGCCAAGTTACCTTTATGTCCCTGTGCATTTTGCCCTTCATATGCAAATAAGCAAGACCCTGGAAATAAAGAGACACACAAGAGGTTATTTTGCCACTTGTTAACGTACAAAACCCAGCCTCATTTAATACATTTAAGTATTAAATGTATTAAAAGCCTCAAGATATTTTATTTGGCAAGGGAGGTATTTGAGATTTGTAGGAAAGGGGCACCCTGGATTCTGTTCCTCATCTGCACCCAACACTTGAACCCTGAATTAAACCACTCATGGGGTAACATTTTACACTGATAAGTGTTTGTTGGTTTTTTTAATAAACCTTTACTAAAATTACATTTCAAAGTCCTGAAGGTTCCTTTAAGAAACCAGCTTACCTTGTTATCAGCAGCCACAAAAGACAATTTCATTTACCTGCTTGTAGCAATTTTCCCTCCACACATCACTAAATTTGCTACCACAGGGCAAGCAGGAAGTTCAAAATTTAAGCAAATATTTGCACTGCTTTAATAGAGTTTCTTGCTAATTTTTATTTACAGTATGGGAACTAACCAGGTTACCCCTGGCTAATTGGTCTCTGCTTGATTCCCAGCAGTTCTGGGAACTGGAATAATCTTTTTTATCTACTTTCATGGAATAAACACTTCATCCTAAGCCTGCCCAAGTACAGTACCTGTAAAGTTTCTCTGCACACATATGCAATTTGTAACTCTGACAGAGGTCCTGTCACTGAAAATAAAGGTAGGAGTGGGTAAGTTTGCAGCACATACATTTATATTGAATACACAGCACATAAATAACGTTGTGAAGCAGCAGAAATTAAAGCCTGATTTTACAGGATCTGGATTCTACTCTGAGCTGAAAAGAGGGGTTTGTTTGTTTGCCTGTTTTACAGAAAGGCTTTCTGTAAAAAAAAACCAAACAAACCCACCAAACAAACAGCACCATAACAGAAGACAATGCCCACAGTGAGAAGAAAACCTGCTCAATGGTAGCTAAAAATCACTATTCATCCCCCCAAAAAACCCAGTGCAGTGCCTGGTCATTCCCTGCTAGTTTATTATTTAATTTTCTTCTCTTCAGAAAGCTTCCAGAAGTTCAGAATGTTCAAATAAATGCCAGAGTACCGTGGTAAATATCCTGGAGAGATCCCCCACCGCAGTATTCCATGCATATCCACAGCTTCTCCCGGCTGGCAAAGGAAAAGGAAAACACAGGCATCAGAAGCTGACTGATTTGGCTACAGAACAGAGTTAATCACCATTATTTAAATTATTTTCTATTGGTCTTGATCAGCAGTTGTGCTGTTATTAATATAAATTCTCCTGTTATCAATATAAATTACTACGTTATCAATATAAATTACCATGTTATCAATATAAATTACCATGTTATCAATATAAATCCTCACCTACCAAAAGGAAAATTTAATGCCAGGATCCCTGAGAAGTCTTTAAATAGTATCAGCTCTAGAAGGTGGTGCTTTAACTCTACAATAATGTGGAGCAGAAACACCTGCTATCAGCAAAATTGAAAGATAACACATTAAAGTGTTTCAATCTTTAAATTGGAATTGCCTAATTATATATAAAAAAAACAATTCACGCTCTCTAAAAGGAAGGTTAAGAAATTCAGCCATTTTATTCCATTATTGCTCTTAAAAATCCCCTGGCTGTGCTTTCCCAGCCCAGAAAACTGTCATGAAATAAAATATCCAAAAGCAACTCTGCTCTAGAGAAGTGTATTATATGGTTTTATACACCAGAACTGATAAATGTATGGGCAGGATTGGATGGTGCCAAGAGGCTCCAAGGGAAAAGTTTCTCACTGTTCCTGGTGAGGAAAACATTCCAGTCCTTTTGGCCAGCAGGGAAAACAAACTATTAGTCACAAAAAAAAACCCCAACAAAACAAACCCAAAGGGAATTCAATCTATGGAAGAACACTGAGAGAGGAGGTGAGGATTAAACCACCCTGAGAGCTGTTTGGGAGAGAAAGCAGCAGAAATGTGGGAATAAAGAGCGGGATTTACCTGAGATAGCTCCCGAAATAGGCGACTATGTTGCAATGCTTGCACTCCTTGACCATATATATTTCTTGCTGGATCAGTGAAAAGTCGTCTCCTGGAAAACAGGAAGCAGCCAGGGGTTACATCACACGGGGCTGGATGTTGGGAGAGGCCTGGAGGGAACTCGGGAAGAACACGGATTGGGCCGGATCGTGGCTGAGCCCTTCTGAGCACGTCAGCCTTTCACCCTCTCAGCCTCAACCCTTTTATTCCATCCTTCCATCAGGCACAAATATTTCCTGGAGATCAACAGGGAAGGGCTGGCCTGAGCACGATCCATCGGTTCAGACAGCTCAGCACGCACGGGGACATCTGGGAAAGGAGGGGAGGGATCCCATGGAGGGATGGGAGCACAGGAGGAACCTCAGAGCAGCCCCTGTGGAGCCAGCAGAGAATCCCAGCTGGAGCTGATCCAGCTTTACCAGCAGAGAATCCCAGCTGGAGCTGATCCAGCTTTACCAGGCCACGGTGCTCGCAGCACAGCAAGAGGAAAGGTGGCTGGAAGCTCATTCCAGAGTCTCCTGCCTGGAACCAGGAGAGCTCACATTCCACAGGCTTGTTATTGAAAGTGTTTCATTCCCAAACCACCGGGATGGAGCAGATGGCCCGGACACCCACTCAGCTGACTCAGAGCAGCAGCACAGAGTCCCCAGCACGGACTGTGCCTGGCTGGGAGCGTGGTTTGGGATGAGGACACCCACACCAGCACGCTGGCACATCCTAAATATCCTCTGGGGGGAAAAAAAATATCGACTTAAAAGGAAGTAATAATGTTCTAGATGCAATTTACAGTTCTATCAATATGTTTATAGAGATATGAAGTGGATAGCAGGGAATGTTCTCTACAGAATCTACGGCTCCAACCCCGCAGCTCGGCCCCAATATTTTGTTTGTTATTACCTTTATTCTTCCTTTGGACAAAGGGCAATGGCTTTAAGCTGAAGGAGGGGAGATTTAGGTGGGATATTGGGAAGGAATTGCTGGCTGGGAGGGTGGGCAGGCCCTGGCACAGGTTGCCCAGAGAAGCTGTGGCTGCCCCTGGATCCCTGGAAGTGTCCAAGGCCAGGTTGGAGCAGCCTGGGAGAGTGGAAGGCGTCCCTGCCCATGGCAGGGGATGGAATGACCCGATCCTTAAAGTCCCTTCCAACCCAAACCATTCCATGAAAACTGTAACAGCTTGCAAGACACAAAAGACTAGACTTGAACTAAAGATTTTATGGTTTAGATCAAATTCTGCTCTGGACGATGTGGGAGCTGCCAGGAAGGGAGAAACTGCTTTGGGTATTTTCCTTCTGTTTAAAATTTCCCAAGTAAAATTCTCTCACATTTATTATAAAGTCAGGGATATCCAACCCAGCAAACATGAACTGCTTTGTCCTGTTCCCTTTAATTTAGATGGTTTTGACAAGTCCAAGAGGACTCAAGCACTGCTGTAAACTGGATTCTTCTTGTGTTTATTTAAGTAGTAGTGTAGCTAATATTTTTTAATATCCTCTTTTAAAAGAGATATTTATTTATATTTGCTGTGCTTCCCTGAGCAATGGTGTTGCTGGCTAAAGAAGTGCCAATAACAGAAATTATCACAACCTTTCTGTCTCAGTGATTGCCAGACCTTTATTTAAGAAAACAGCCATGAAATAGGAAGGTGGAAGGGAACACACGTCCATGAATCCACCCCTGACCCATTTCAGTAAATCCTCAAGGGCTTCTTGAAGTTGAATTATGTGGAGAAACACTTCACTGGGGCAGGAAAACATTAGCAGAGGAGTTTCAAATGTCAAGAGGCTTTTTATAAACATCAGTAGTATTTTTTTAAATAATGAGAAAGAGAAAAGGCAACAGAACTTCTATAAATTTAGCACAGCTTTCCCGCTGTGCTTGGTGTAGGGGTTACCTTGCAGCTACAACTTTGCCTGAATTCACAAGTCCTGCCTATAAATGATCACTATGGGCAAGGGATTTTTGAGTTTAGAGAATCCTAGAACGGTTTGGGTTGGAAAGGAGCTTAAAACTCATCTCATTCCAACCCCTGCCACAGGCAGGGACACCTTCTACCAGCCCAGGTTGCTCCAAGCCCCGTCCAACCTGGCCTTGGACACTTCCAGGGATCCAGGGGCAGCCACAGCTTCTCTGGGCAACCTGTGCCAGGGCCTGCCCACCCTCCCAGCCAGCAATTCCTTCCCAATATCCCATTCCCTCTTGTCCTGTCATTACCTGCCTATAAAAAAAGTCCCTCTCCCTCCTTCTTATAAACCCCCCTGAGTTTAAATCTGATGGATTCATTCCTCCCATTTCTCCAACAAACTTCCTGAGGGAAGCTGTTGGAATTCTCACAGGTAACACCTGGGGCATTTTCAAACTACACAAGAATCTTCAAGAAAGTCAAATCCAAGTGGTTCTGAAGATGAATCCTCCCATCCCACATGGAAAAAGGGTTCTGTCTCTCTGCAGCTCATTGTCCATGGGTTCAGAGGATCCAGTGCCAAATCCCCACAGCCTCTTCAAATCACAGAATCCTTTTGAAACAGCAGAATCCTGGCATATGTGGGAAAAAAACCCATCCCTGTACCAGCAAAACCCTGCAGGCAGCAGCTGGAATTGCCCACGGACAGCACGTGGATCGGGCTCGAGTGTGGAGCAACAGCCAAGTCAGTTCTAGGAACCATGACTAATGAGGCAAAATTGAAGGAAATACAGGGATTTGGGCAAGAAAAAGGCTGACAGTGAAAAGATAATAACCTTCATGCACATGAAAGATAGCAGGGAAAGGGGGAGGAGGGATAATCCGTGTCCAGTTTGATAACAGGACACTTAGTGGGCTTAAATTGCCTTAACCTACACTCCCTGTGCAGATGGAAAGCTTTTCCCACTGGAATAATATCACAGCACTGAATGGGAAGGGATGGGAAGTTGTGAAAATTCCCACAAGTGGAAAAAAAAAACAATAATGAAGAAAACACTGAATAAGAATCCACCAGGAACAACTTGGAATGATCCTGCCTGTAGTGGAGGGACACAGCAAAGATGATCCCTCGGTTTTCAATTAATAAATGAAGAATTCGTGCAAGAAATGAGGGTTAACCTACAGGAAAAAGGGGGGAAATAGAATTTGGAAGTGGAAAGGGGGTGCAGGCTGAACACAGATAGAGAAGTGGCAAAGAGATGGAAAGAAGAGAAGCATCTGTGAGAAAAGTTTGGCTAAAATATGTAGGAAATGATCGTGAAAGATCAGACACAGAGATAGCAGAGAAGATGTATAGTCACTCAAAAAGGACAAGAATGAATACAAAACAAAGGAATTCAGAGTTTCCAGGCAGCTGGAGTATTAATCTTGGCAAGGGACGCTGGAACGGGGCAAAAATGAAATATCCTTGGACAGCAGGGAAAAAAACCCAGACAGAATTGGTAGAAAACACTTCATTGAGAGGGAGACAGAGAGATAAAAAGAATTAGACCAAAGGTGACAAAACATCCACAACAAAGAGCTTCTCATCTGGTTTAGCCATCAGTACTAAATTACACGGAGTCGGGAAAAGGCCGCTCTTGCTGCTCACACGTCTGCAGTGCTGGGATGTGCTGAGCAGGAGCGTGGAGCAGGGAGCTGCTGGAGGCCCACGAGCAGCAGTGACTCACTGCAGCCTCTGTTGGTTATGTAATTTTACCTCTGCAGAGGCACAAGGACACAGCTTGGACACACAATGGAATATTCTCCTCGGGCGGCGGCCGCTCCGCTTGGCACAGCCAGCTGCTCGTTGTCCTGCACAGCTGGCAGGGAGGGCACTGCTGAACCCACTGTGGGGGGGGAGAAGGGCCCATCCCACAGGCTAAGAGAGGTAAGGGCTGGGAAATTCAGGATGAATCCCTATTTAAATGGGAGATCGTGGAGAAAACTGAGGGTGCCTCAACAGCAGGGAATTGTTCTACTCACAGACACGGCGTCTCTCCTGGGGGACAGGCTGGGAGAGCTGGGGGGGTGCACCTGGAGAAGAGAAGGCTCCAGGGAGACCTGAGAGCCCCTTGCAGGGCCTAAAGGGGCTCCAGGAGAGCTGGAGAGGGACTGGGGACAAGGCATGGAGGGACAGGACACAGGGAATGGCTTCCCACTGCCAGAGGGCAGGGATAGGTTAGATATGATGAATGGCAAAGCTGAAGGAGAGTAGGCTTGGATTGGGTGTTGGGAAGGAATTCCTGGCTGGGAAGGTGGGCAGGTCCTGGCACAGGTTGCCCAGAGAAGCTGTGGCTGCCCCTGGATCCCTGGAAGTGTCCAAGGCCAGGTTGGACGGGGCTTGGATCAACGTGAACAAGTGGAAGGTGTCCCTGCCCATGGCAGGAATTGGAATAAGATGGGATTTAAGATACCCTCCAACCCAAACCATTCTGGGATTCCACGATTCTACATGGAACTGGAATGCAGATATCCTGCCAAGATTTCCTAGATGGAGAGCACATGTCATTCTTGAGTTGGCACTTGGAATTTCTAACTCTTGGCACTTGGGCTTTTTAACACTATAATTGACATTGGTTATTTAAAAGTGGCATAACATTTAACGAGAGGGCTGTGCAGGACAACGAGCAGGGTCACAGCACCACAGCCTCTGCTGGGACCATCCCTCCAACACTTCTCATTTCAACAACCTGAGCTCCCAAAAAAAACAAGGGAGGAAAACCCATGGGAATGACAAATATTCACCCCAGTCCACACACTCCCCAGCCAGGCAACATCCACCAGCTCCTCTGTGCTGACTTCCAGACATCCCCGTGCTCACTAATTCCCAATCACTCCCTCCAAATCCCTCTCCTGAACCTCAAGAGCTCTGCTGATGAATAAGGATGCCTCTCCCAAAATGCAGGATCTTCACCCAAACTCCACACTGCTTTTCCCAGGACTCATGGAAAACCTGCAGTCCCACAGCAAGAATTTAAATTCCCCCAAAACTTGAAACTCAGAAACTCGATTCCAAGCAGGAAACAGCTATTTGGAAACAGTGATGTTTCCACCAGCAAATTTTCCTGCTAGGCAAGTAGCTGCCAACTCCCAACCACTGATGGTCCTCATTATCTCTCCACTGATATAAAACATTCCCGACGGCGACGCTGCCACAGCAGCAGGAGCTCCACGGCAAGTGACACACGAGAGTTCGGAATGAGTATCCAACACCAGAACCATTTCCCTGTGGATTTTCTCTTCTGCCCAATCAGTATTGCCCAGAGAAGCTGTGGCTGCCCCATCCTACTGGAATTGTTCCAGGCCAGGGTGGACAGAGCTTGGAGCAACGTGGGATGGTGGAAGGTGTCCCTGCCCATGGCAGTGTCACACTCTGCGTTGCCTTCCAACTACACTGTGTGATCTTCCATGCTTCTTTCCTACTCAGAGCACCCTTATCCCACCACAACCCTTCTGCTGACCCTCTCCATCCAAGAAACTCTGTGTTTTAAGTGAGAATTTGCACTTGTTTTGAGTGAAAACCTGAAGTGTGAACCCACCCGCTCTGAATCCGCACATCTCTTAACAACAAAAGTGGATTATAAATTCACTAAAAGGATAAAAAGTAAAATTAGCCCAGATTTCAACAAGTTAAATATCATTAATTGTGGGCACTCTAGATCCAAAGACCAGGCTGCCTCTGCTTTGCTCTGTGCCTGCTCCTGTGGCAGCACCACACAGGACATGGCCCAGCACAACCAGGCCACGTGCAGGCTTTGATGGCTCTGGCACACTCGGAACCCCAGGCATTCATCCCAAGACACCATCCCAAGCCCAAGCAGGTCACACAGCCCAGGGCAGGGAAGGTGTGTGTGGCACTGAGAACTTATTTTCATCTTCCTCCAGCTCCAGGTGCTGCCAGCAACGGTTCAAGCCCAGCAGGATGAGTTTAAATCAGCCCCAGGCTTAGTTTAAACCAGCCTCGGGCTTGTTCTCCAGAGCTCATGTCATCTTCAGGGGATTTATCCCATGGAGAGCGAGGCTGCATTGCTTCAGTCCCCTCTTCAGTCCCCAAAACACCCTGGACTAATTTGTGGTCAGCCTGAACTGGCCCCGTGGGCCACGTTCCTGTGTGGAATACGAACTTCCTGATCCAAACCACGGGATACAACACACACACAGAACGAGCCAGAGCTGCCTCTGAACTGCTAAGCACAGCACACACCTCTGGAACCATCTGTACAGTTCCACCTCCCAGCTTCAGATCCAGCCTGGAACAGGCAATGAACTGGCTGCTTTCTGGGATCTCACCCGGAAAATGCAAACGTTGGACCAGAGGAAAACCCGCAGTGAGGTTTTTTCTGTGACCCTGGGGGAAGTTCAGAGCAAGATTTCCACCGGCCCCTCTGAGTGTCAAAGGTCTCTGAGGGCACCATTTACCCCTGCAGCAGAATTTAAAACAGACATGACTGTATTTTGAAGTATTTTATTTGTCACATTTTCCCAGGGTAGAAAGTTCTTGTGGCAGAAAACTCCACTGGCAAATAGTCACCCCTTTGTATTGACCCCCCTCTCGATTCATCTGCTAAACCCATAGATGGAAGTGGCTTTAGTGTTTCAGACAGTTTTGGCTTCTCTGCTGCTGAGTACAGTTGGATTAGTTTCTGAAATAGAATTGGCTCCCAAATTATTTGAGGCATTTGTGCTCAGGGAATGCTGGGAAATGTCATTAGCGTGCCATAATACTTTTGCCTAATGCTCTCCAAGTCTATGCCAAGAGAAAAAAAGGGAAAAACAGCGTCTATTTTGACTCCAGCAGCACAGCTTAAGAACTGTGGGAGCAGACCCAGAGCACTGCCCCGAATTCAAATGAATCACTGACAGCTCCAAACTTTAGGCTGAGTTTATTTCCTTTGTCTGGAGAAGAGGAGAATGCAAAAGCTGACGAAATAAAACCCAGATTTATGTTGGGCTCCTGGTAAGTTGGAGTCTCTTTGCCTACTCACTGCCTGTGGTGGATGAGGGAGGAAGAGGAACAACCCCCCTGCCATGTCAGTGATTTTCTGAGTCTCCCCCAATCCTGTCATTTGACTGTGTGCAGTCCCTTCAGCTTTCATTCACCACATTCCTCACCTCCTCTGGGGTACTCTCTGCTTCAGAGTCTCCTGCTCCCCACTCCCCTGTCTGTGCATTAATCAAGTGGTGAGTTTTTGGAGCTCTGACTTTTCCATCTGCTAATTAATTCCCATCCACGAGCCACCTCCTCCTCCACCCCAGAAGATGCTGTGCTCACAAGCCTATTTCCCTGGTGACTCAATCAGGAGGTTTATTACCAAGCTTTTTCTAGCTGTGCCCTGTGGTCTGACAGGAGCTTGTGCCGGTGTTCCCAGGGGCTGCCCTTCCCAGGAAATCACCACAGCCACATCCAACAGCTTCTGACACCAGCCTGCTCCTGGAACTGATGGTGCTCTGCAAGTACAATCCTACAAAACTACTCCAACCCCATAAAAAATTCATCAGAACGCTGAAGTGTGGAGCAGCCAACTACTTATTCCTTCAAAAATCCAGAATATTTTCAACACGTAGACATCCCAGACAACTAAAAAAGGAGTAAATAAGTCAAGAAATGCTGTGAACCCTCCTTAAAAACAAACCAAGCACCCAACAAGACTCTGCCAAGAGGCTGTGGGTGGACATGCTGTGGATGGAGATCAGGTTGGCAACGTTTAAAAGAAGATGCATTAAAAAATAAACCACCCAAAACAAACCAGGAGAAATCGCTTCCCTGCGGCGAGTCAGGCCAACATCATTAAACACAAGCCACGCTCATCAGTGCTAATTTAAAATGGGGTTCTCAGAGTGGTGACTTTGGGCCAGAGTCTTGCATTTATCTCCTCGGTGCTGAAGCAGCACCAGGCAGGGGCTGCTCAGCCTCCAACAAATCCTGCTCTTCCCTGGGCTCCAAAAATTCCCAACAAAAGCTTCACTGGGAGCAGGTGCAGAGACATGAACGCTGGAGGAAGCCTCTCCTGCCTTAGCAGTGGGTTCATATTGTCCTTTTTCTGTCCCCAAAGCACCGCTCTGCCCCACCCCAGACCTGCTGAGGTCGGTGGTTCGCTCCCCCCGGCCCCGCTGCCCCCAGCTCTGCCCACAGCGTTTCCCACAGGGAAATGAGGGATCCCTGCTGTGCTTCCCACTGCATTCCCACTGCCTAACCAGCCTCATCACTGCAATCCACTCAATACACCCAGCCCTCTTTGCCAAGGGAAGGTGAGCAGGCACAGTCACCCAAAATCAGTGGGTTTCACTTCTCCCCTGAGCCTCTCCATGGTTCTTCTACCTCCAGTCTTCAAAACCGTCTCTTTTTCCGCACACAACCAACCAGAAATAAAAATGAACCCTGCATGGTAGAGTCCCTTCAGCCCTGCCTCCCATCTCCAGCAGAGGATTTAAAAGCAGCCCACACAGGGGTACCCCCAAACACCCTCCCCACCTCTGGAGATGCAGAGCCCAGAAAAACCCCTCAGTCACAGTTGGGATCTTCATATTTGAGTCTTTCGTGTCCTTTTCTCTCCCACAAACTCGTGCAGTTGCTTTTTGCACCTATGTGACCACAGCTTAATGCAACGAGGAGATTTACAGATATTGCAGAGAAAGAAAATTGCAATGCAGATATTGCAGATGTCCTGACCTCAGGACATCTGACATGGAAAGGACCACTGAAGGAGTCAGAATGGCCTGTGGGGATCGTGCTGGTGGGGGTTGTGGCCGTGCCTGGAGGCTTTGTTGGCTCTAGAGGGTGAGAGTGGCACCACCTGGCTGCTCTTTGCTTGTTCACCTGCACTGGGAAGGAAAGGAAGAGCTAAAGGATCAAGCTGAGCCTTTCTCTTCATTTATTCACTGGAATGTTTCGGATTTTTCCAGCTGATAAAGATGTCAGATTTCAGGAGCTTTGGGCTGTTAAAAAGATGCAGGTCAGAAGGGAAAGCAAGACCCCCTGAGGAGGGAGATCCAACTTCATCTCAACTATGTGAGAGGCTGGGAGAGCTGGGGGGGTTCCCCTGAGAAGGATCCAGGAAGACCTGAGAGCCCCTTGCAGGGCCTAAAGGGGCTCCAGGAGAACTGGAGAGGGACTGGGGACAAGGCATGGAGGGACAGGACACAGGGAATGGCTTCCCACTGACAGCACTGGGTTAGATGGGATATTGGGAAGGAATTCTTGGCTGGGAAGGTGGGCAGGCCCTGGCACAGGTTGCCCAGAGAAGCTGTGGCTGCCCCTGGATCCCTGGAAGTGCCAGGCTGGACGGGGCTTGGAGCAATCTGAGCTGGTGGAAGGTGTCCCTGCCCATGGCAGGGGGTGGAACTGGATGATCTTTAAGGTCTCTTCCAACTCAGACCATCCTGGGGTTGTGTAATTTCCACTCAGGACACAATTTCTGATTGCAGCCCTCTGTGCAGGACTCAGATGAGGCTTCAGCTCAGCAGCAAGTGAGCTTCTCCTGCATCTCCTGCTTTTATGTGGAGTGGCAGAAAATCCACGGGGAAATGGAGTAGGAGGAGCCACCCTCCTCCCTCAGCACCAGTTACAGGAAAGATGACACGTGAAAAAGCACAGGGTTCTGTTTTTCCCACTGCACCTTTGGTGGGAATTAACATCATAGCCTGATCCCTTCCCCCTCTCAACTCCCACAGCCTCCCACCTCCCCACTGCCTCAGAGCTCACAATTTACCACCTGCCCTCGATCTTCTCTTTGCACTGACAACGTGTGGTAACTGCAACATCTTTTGGTGCAACAACTGATAAGGGAGATAAGAGCAAACAAGGAAACAGTGAGCAGGACACAGCCAAAAGCAATGGTACATCCTGCAGTGCTTCCTGTCATCTAACCACTGAAACGACACCAAAAAAATACCCAAACACTTCTTTTGTCTTTAGAACTTCACGGTGTGTGAAAATAAACACGTGGAAAAAAAAAATGAAAACGCAATTCCAAAATAGCGGAAAGAACGTCAGACTTACCAGGCTCTAACTTGATTATTTTTACAGCAGCCAGTTCTCCTGTGTGAAGATTTCTAGCCTGAAACAAGAGAGTGAAGACAAATTTAATTAAATTCTCCTGCAGAGGCACCTCACAGGGTCTTACAAAGTGTGCAAAGATAAATTACGATGTGTGTTACAAAGCTGAGAGTGACCTGGGTGAGGATTATCTGGGTTGGGAATTAGCACAGCATCAGCCTAGCTGGAATTGTGAAATGCTCCTGGCAGTTCTTTTGCAAGACTTGAAGACAACTACCAGCAAATCACAGAATTTAGGATGGAAGAGACCTCCAAGGTCATCGAGTCCAACCCGGAGCACCGAGTGCCACGTCCAGTCATTCCTTGGACACCTCCAGGGATGGGGACTCCACCACCTCCCTGGGCAGCCCCTGCCAATGTCTAATCCCCCTTTCTGTGAAGAAATGCCCAACCTGAACCTGAAAATGAGATTTCATGCCTCTCAAACACCATTTCTAGGGGGAGTTTCCACCGTGACGCACCAAGGGCTGTCAGAGCTCAACACCCATCTCGTGGTGCTGAAACCTCAGGGTGCACCGAAAGTGGAACTGAGAGGTGCAGGGGCAGGGGGGAGGCACTGCACAAGCAGCTTGAACAAGTCACAGCTCCTTTCCAACAACTTCATTCTGAAGAGCAACTCCTTCCAGCAGCCCTTGCTTCCCACGATCCTTGGGAAGAAGGAGAAGGGGTAGGGAGATCCAGTTAAGCCTTCACAGAACTGCCCCAAAATTCACACTGAGAATTCAGAGCTGGAGGGAGATGTTACAGAAAAGTCAGGCAGAGAAAGTTTTAAAAGGGGGTTTCATGAACACTTTTAACCATAACAACACGACCTGAATCGCTCAGGCACCACCACTCTAAAATTTTAGACACACAACCCGATTCAATCTGTGGCATTCCCCTTCTGCTGATCATCCAAAAGTTACAGGAGTCCAAACCCAATTGTTTCATTTTTCCCCTAACAAACAGGAAGAGTCTTCTGAACAGGTGAAGAAGTGGATTATAGCAAATGGAGGGAAAACTGGGTGAAATCCATTTGGGCAGTTATTTAAGATGAGGATGTGAAGCAAATCTGACCCTGCCAAGGGAGTCACTGCAGAACAAAACACTCTTCTCCTGTGGATGGATAAGTCTTAACAACAGGTAAAGCGAGAACCTGAAGGGTGAAGCCCCTCAGTTTTAACAAAACTTATCAAGCTTCCAGACAGGGAAAGGCTTTCCAACCAAGAAAAAAAAAACACAACAAAACCAGACCCAACCAAAAACCCACCCCAGCCATCCCTGGCCTTTCAAAGCCCTGCAGTGCTCAGATGTGAGGTGGGTGTCAAACGCAGGCCAAGGACACAAATGTGACTCAGCTTGAGGTCAGAGAGAGAACCTGAACAACTGTACAGTGGAACCAAACATCTGAAGGCCAAATCACTGAAGCAGATTGTCATCTGCAAACCACAAAGGAAACATTCACCACTTCTTAAAGTACCTTCCTACCGCAGCAAAATCCTTCAGCATCCAGAAGGAGAATGCATCCCAGCATGGATTACAGGATTAGGAGCTCTCTGCTCCTGTTACAGCTGATGATGCTGTTGGGAAACACGGATGTTCCCATCAGGGACACACCCCCTGCCTTGGGGAAGGCAGGGATTTCTCACTGTCCAGTGCTATCCACAAGGAGCTGAGCTGCTCACATAAAGACTGCACGGTTGCCAGAAAATCAGCTTCACCTCTGAAGCACAAAAAAATATCATAGCCCTTACAAATATTCCTTTTCCATACAAGCAGCAATTGCTGAAGGAAAAAAGCCTGAAGGAATGGATGGACTTTGCCAAAGGCCTCTTGGCTGGGATTGGGAGGTCCAGGCTGGAGATCGGTGCCGTTCCTGGCTCTCAGCGCCCCCACACAACAGAGTTCCACCAAATTCTACCAAATATTACCACCAAGCTTTTGCATACAACCCATACCTTGGACGTGGACTATTTCACATTTGAACCACCAAACTTTGCTGCTGGAACACAAAGCTCCCTGCTGGGTCGGTATTTATGAACCAAACAAATCAAGTTCCCTGAGCCACTCGCCCCCAAGATCAGTTTTCTGGCCCTACAGTTTCTTTTCCAGCCATTCTGAGGCTGGTGACACCAAACCCACCCATCATCATCAACTCCTGGTGCGCCAGCACCGCAGGTAAAAACTTTGCTGGGTATTCCCTGATCCTCAAAATCCTGGTTTGGATGCCCACAGGCGTGGAATGGCATAAGATCTTCAGTCTAGACAGCCGAGAGTGTGCAGCAAATCACCCAGCGTGCTTCCCACAGAACCCCATCCCTTCCCCCTTCCCACCTGTCAGCTGCAAACTCATCAATAATCACCTGCTGCTCCCTGGCACGTCATTAAAAACGCAGGCAGGCAAAGGTGAGAACTGGTTCTCCCTGGGACACGCCCAGAGAGGAGAAGTGTCAGCTCAGGAGTCCTCAAATCCTCGTGACAGGTGTGAGCTGAACCATCGTTTCCCAGCACTGATGACTTCACTGCCTTCTGGGTTTGGGTTGTTTTGTTGTTTGGTTTTTTTTTTCAGAAAGAATTGTGTGGTTATCAAGGAAGTCACAAAGCAGGAAGGCACCACATCAGCACTGCTGGCTTGGTGAATCAAACCTGCAATTCGACTGCAGATCAAAAATATAAATCCCTGTGAAGAATCAGTTAATGATCCATCGCTATTTCTTACTGAAATCTCTCAATATATCAACGTTTCTTATTTTTTCACTGCAGAGGGGGAATCGAAACGAGGCTAATAAAAAAATTACAGGTCTTCTACTCCTCTTAATTACATTTTTCAAACCCAACAGCAAAACACCTGCCTCTTCCCCACCCCCTGACGTTTCCTCAGTATTCCAAGTCTCAATTTAAAATTAACTGAAAGCAACCAGAGGAGCTGTTACTGCACCCCAAGTAATCCAGGCCTGTTCGGTATCTCACAGGCTGACATGGAAAATTGTCATTTGTATGCATTTATCTACATGAAGATGACATACAGACAATGAACCTTGATGATCTCTCCTGAACATTTCTAATATTTCAGTCTAACGGAAGATAAAGCCTGATAGGTTTGTTATTGGCTTTAAATTCTTCCAGCCTTGATTTCTTCAATATGCAAGGAAGCCTCCTGAGAACTCATCCAGTCATTAAAGGCTGAAAGACCAAATGCACACCTCCATCAGCAACGTGGTCCAGTTCCTGTGGACCAGAGTGGAGCCCCAATTCCCAGGATATTTTCTTTAAGACTTCCCTCAAGAGGAAAACAAGAGCTTTTGCTATTTATTACCACTGATCTTAATTTTATTCCACGAGACCCAAAGGTGAAAATCCTGCTCCACGTCAACTCGGAACGAAAATCAAACCCACGGGATTTTGGCAGGAGGATTCCACAGCTCCCAAAGCAGAAAATGTGACCTCCACAAGAAAGGGACCAGAACAAGGATGTATTTGAATGAGGTGAACCACAGCCAAATTTCTTCTGCTCAGTGTCACTTAGAGAGGACATTTCCTGAGAAAGCAGCCTTTTGGTCACCTCTTCCTTCAGCTGAGTGACAGCATCCCACTGAGCACAGCTCTTCCAGGATATGTCAGCAGCTGAATACTAACAGAACATCACATGGAGCCTGTGTTCAAAATAAAACAAAACTACTCCTCTTTTTTTGTTGTTTTTTTTTTTCTTTGAATATCCCATCGCGTCGCTGTAGGGGCCGAGCACATCACACCTCACACTGATGTGACAGCACGACGAGCAGGATTGTTTTGGGGAGCTGGGAGGGTTTTATAATGTTACACACTCAAAAAAAACCCCAAAAAAAACCAAAACATTGGGGTTTCCCACTGAGATTTAACTTTCCTCCCAAAAAGCTGCTGTGGGACAGCGGAACCTGAGGTGACACCCGTGGCAATCCCTGTGTGTGATTGTTTCCCACCAACACCACACGTGAGGAAACACGTTCTGGGTAGGACACTTTCTGCAGCCAACGACCAGAAATAACACAGAAAACTGGTTTCAGAACCAGTTGTGCACTCTGCACTTGTGTTTTATTTGTTTTCATGAGTGCAAGCCAAACAATTCCACCCCAGGGGGGTCCACAGGACTGAGCCACGTGAGACGCTCCAAACTTAAGAGAAATCTTGGACATCTGAATGCAAGTGCTCAGTGTCCTTTTCCAGGCACTGAACACCGAGGAAAAGAAAGATTCAGGCAGCAATATCCCTCTCCCAGCCTCCAAATCAGCAATTTGGATTTCCATGGTGAAACCCCCTCCTGTCCCCGGCACTGCTGTCTCATCTCCAGCCTCGGATCAACCGCCCGGCTCTCCGTTTGTTCCACTGGCTCTCCATTTAATCGGACGATAATTGCAGCTCCCCTGGCAGCCCTCCCACCCCTCCCCTTCTTATTCAGCCCTTGCCAAGCTTCACTCACCAGTGACCACGACGTTGTGCCGTCCCCAGCGCTGCCCGTTCCTCCCCAGTTACCGGATACCCCTTCAAAGGGTACCTGACCTCCTGCCCTGCCGCTGACACGGGAGCTTCTCAGCTGCTTTCCAGTTCCTGACCTCTTACCCTGTGCAGCTCTTAACCTGCTCTTTGTGGCATGGAAAATCCCATTATCCTGCCTATCTCATGGCACTGTCAAACAGACCCTTGAATTCACCTGCTGATGCATCTCTAAATTCACGTTTATCACTGTTCAGAGCTCTCAGCCAACCCCAGGAAATGTCTCTCAGCTGGGCTGCCCTAAATCCACGACAACAGAGTCCTTTCTTACACACAGCAGGTATTTCCTCTGTGATTAAAAACGAGAATCCAAAATATCACAGGCACTAGGGGAATTAAAAACACAAGATATCTGAACAAATCAAGACTATGTAGAGAAAGACAGGGGCACAGAGGCCCTGCAACAGCAGATGGGATCTTGAAGGTGCCACCAAATCCAGCCCAGGGGGGGTTTTCATCATTTGCTTGGGGTTTTGTTGTGAGCACACAGAC